CTACTTTTTCCTATTTTTCTTTAAAAATACATTTTTTAGGTGACTTGGTACACCTTAACTCATTACCAAGTGGCGACTCCGTATTTAGTTTTAAAAACCCTTTTTAAACTATAATTTTGGGTCAAATCGTCGCATTCTCAAAACCCCATTTAGACCCATTTTTCTTTTAAATCACGATTCATTTTCCAATCACAAAAATACATTTTTAAACCATTCATTTTATTTCATCAAAAAATGGGGCGCGACAGTTGGCGACTCCACTGGGGACTTTCGAGAGTCCGAGCAAATATGATTTAATCAACCTTTTTCTTCTTTTAACCTTTTCATTTATCACATTGGATGTTTAGTATTGCATTTTTTCCTTTTTTTTAGGATTTTTGCATTTCGCGTATCAACTCACTTCCTCACACATTCGACTACGATTGTTTGGATGGATGGATGATTTATTTTTGTATGATTTCGCGCTTTGCATTGCATTTGGGGGGGTGTCACCTTTAGAGCCTTGTGTGGTTCTCAACCCCTTCCCTCAAAATAGGGAGCACTTCATACGTGCACGTTTATTTATTGTTATCCCCATTTTATTTTATTTTCGTGGGCGTTTCCCACACCGCCTTGTAGGATTAGGATCGATCGCCTTGGGTAGGCGGCTGGTGTGCTCTGCGCCCATAGCGCTACCTAAGGGATCACTCGAGCCACCGATCAAAGGCCCTGGGAGTGATGACCCTTCGCCTTTAGGTCTGAAGGCTTGGGAGCCGAGACTTATCGAGTCTAGTTGCATTAGTGAGCCCCAGCCTCATGCATCCATATTAGACTCGCCTAGGGTAGAGTCGGCCTCACCTTTTTTTAAGCACATTAGGCACGAGGGAAGGGGTTCCACCCCTTTTACTTGCTTTATTGTACTTCTTTTTTTTTCTTAATTGCTCCCAATATGTTACGTGTACTATCAATTGTACTAACTATTCTTGCGTTTTCTTGGCTTGCATTCATGTGCCATAGCAATAAAAGGCCTCTTTGGCACTCTTTTTGTGACTTACCCGCTAGATAGCTCACATGTTTAATTTCAGTCATTACACTTAATTTTCAATAACTACATTTCATTTTTAGACCTCTTTCCCCCCGATGCATTATTTATGCCCTTTAGGCCATATTTGTTGCATATTTTACTGCTTTAAATAACTGGCATCACGCATAAACCATAGAAAGGGAATGCCACGTAGGGAATCCCGTGTTTAGGAATAAGCCGCCACATGTCTCGGATATTTAATCCAATGGGACTTACACGTTTACTATTTCTGCATTACCTAAAGGGTAAAATCCCGAGGTAAGGTACTAAAGTGAATTTCTTCCCCAGATGGCTCCGTGTAGAATGCTCAATCAGATACCTCGTGAGCTAGTAGATTGGAAGAACAATATGGCACATGAAGTGAACAGACTTTTCCCGTATATAGGACATTTACCTAGTCTCTTGAACATAACTCCGAATGTAGCCATTGTCCAAGCTTTGCTCGAGTTCTGGGATCCAGACAGCTCTGTTTTCCGATTTGGAGAGTGCGAATTAACACTAACCCTGGAGGAGATAGAAGGATTGTTACAAGTGCCTGGGAAAGGTCACCCTATGGTATACCCAATGAATGGCACCAGAGAACAATTTTGTAAGTTCTTAGGGTTAAAACAGTTTAGCATGAGTCAACACCCGGACGTAAGATCATGCCCGCTGGAGTTCTTATACAAGCGATTCGGGGAAAAGGAATCCTATGATCATCACCACGAGGACTTTTTCGTTAGTAGAGAACAGTGGGAAGAGAAACGAGTACTAGCTTTTGGGATAACTCTGATTAATCTACTCCTGTTTCCGAAAAAGCATGGGAAAGTTACGTTTTCAACGGTCAACATGGTTCAGAGTGTGTTTTTGGGAATTAGAGGAAAAACTCCTACCTTAGTACCTGTTATCATTGCTGACATTTTCGCCGCTGTTACTGAGTGCCGAAAGAAGAGAGGGTTTTTCTATGCATCCAACCTGGTACTTCAAATATGGGCGATGGAGCATCTGTCAAAAAGAACACTGAATCCGTTGGGATCATGCCTTCCAACAGCAAATTGGGTTGAGTCGCACCGAGAGAGGGTTAGAAAATACTATCGAATAGAGTCTCCGAGTTTGTTTATTCAGGAATTCAATGCTTTGACTTCGGATAAGATACAATGGGTTCTTGATTGGACGAAAGTAAGGGATCCAGCTTTCAGGACAACACAACTTGATTTTATCCCGTTAGCAAGCACCGGTGGATTGATTGTGTATGTGCCACAACGAGTTATGAGACAGTTTGGGTATCCGCAGCGAGTGCCGACCATACAAAGGATGGGGAGCATCGAACTCAATACAGTCACCGAATGCCAGACTATGGTGCTGGAAGCTTGGGGGAATCTGTGTAATCTGGACAACCTGCATTTGGACCAAGTGAATAAAGTAGAGTCTAAGGTCGTCTTAGAGTACAACGAATGGATCAAATCAATAATGGAACAAGGAAGAGAAAGGGCATCGTTGGTCTCCCTTAGTCTTGAGGAGCAGAATGAAAAGTTGAGGAAAGAGTTGGAGAATCGTCAGTTGCAGATCATGGTAGCCGATCAAGCATTGGAAGACGCCCGCTCACAATTGAAGAAAGAGGCCAAAAAGACCGAGAACTTGGAAAAGGCATTGAGTGCATTTGGCCAAATCCAAGATGAAATTCGGAAACTTAGTATCGGGAGTTCTAGGGAGTCCCAACACACTAAACTAGCTAGACATGAAGACTTTGTAAGAATGGTCAGTCGAACCATCAATGAAATTGTAAAGAAGGATTAAGCTTATCCATGATTAATGAGAATTTCTGTTTTTATATTCACTTACAGGTTTGAAAAATGGGATTTACCCCGAAGGCTTGCATCATGCTAGGCCTACCCTTGGCACAAAAAAGGGCTCCCCAATAGGACATGCATCCGAATTATTTTGCTTTTTACTAACTCCTGTCTTTTTCTTTTATTTTTTTCTTCTTTTTTGGCAACAGTCAATCAAGAAGGGCATCTAATAAGGGTTTTCCTACGTCTCCAGGTAATATTTAAATATAGCTACCCGAAGAAGCCCCATTATCACTCGATCGCGTAGCCGAGCTTCGAGGGAAAGTGTAAACATGAGTACCCATCCGGAATCATCTGAAAGGCCCGCAACATCATCAACTGATTTGGCAAATCTGGGAGCTCAGCTGAGCGAGGTTCTCAACCGGTTTAATGAGCTAAGTGTTGAAATGATGGCCCAACGGCATGTAATCGATCAATTGGTAGCTAGTGGCGCTAGCGGTGAGCAGCAACATGCACCCTTACCCCCGGGCCAATCTGAACCAATACTCTTACCATATGCTCAAATCTCTGTTTCTTCACAAGCTATGAATCCACCCGAAGAAACCTTTACTTATCCCACTCATGGCCCACCACCTACATATGCACCTCACATCCAAACTAATCCTCCTCAAGTCCAAATTTCCCAGAATTATCCGCCCATTACTGTGAGCATGCCTTTCGAACCACAAGGACCACATTATTACGCCACCGCTGAACCATTCACCCTAGATACCGCCGTTCAAGGGAAAACTGAAGTTGGGGGGTCGTCCGTGCCCGTGGACAAGAATTTACTAAAGAGATTGGATCGGTTCGAGGAGTTTATAAGGAAAAGCCAAGGTGTGAGCAAACAAGGAGGTTTGGACTACAACGAGCTGTGCCTGTTTCCGGATATGCAGTTGCCGGTGGGTTTCAAAGCACCCAAATTTACCAAGTACGACGGAACGGGGAATCCCAAAACCCACCTTCGGATGTTTGCAAACAAGCTGGGAAGACCAATAGACGATGAGAATCTGCCGGTACGCTTATTTCCCGAGAGTTTAGAAGGCGACGCGTTGGATTGGTATTCCAATTTGAAGCCTGAAGATATGAAATCTTGGATGGATTTATCGACTGCTTTTGTGAGGCAGTATGAATATAATTGTGAGCTCGCTCCGACGAGGACCACATTGGAGGGGACCAAGAGGAAGCCATCGGAGGACCATAAGACATATGCGAAGAGATGGAGGAAATTGGCCGCCAAAGTGGAGCCGCCTATGACTGAAAACGAGATTGTTCGCACGTTTATTAAAGCTCATGACCCACCCTACTTTGAAGAGATTTTCCGTATGACTGGGTGTTCCTTTGCTGAAATTGTTAACAAATTGGAAGAGTATGACGAGTTTATAAGGGCAGGCAAGATTGTTAATGTTTCAGCTTTAAAGTCACAGTTGGAAGCTATGCAGAGTCAGAGTGGCAGTAGTAAAAAGGCTCAATTTAAGAAGAAAGATGAGGAAGCCTCTTTTGTCTGGGACCAGGGTTTTTCTTCTCGGCCTAGATACCAACAAAATCCCACCTACTCACCTTGTTACTTATATCAACCACACCCACGCCCTGTTTACAATACCACTATCAACCACCCCCGTCCTCGACCAAATTATCCAAACACACCATCGACGCCATTTCATGTTTCCCCACCAAACTTGCAAATTAGACCTCGCCCTCCTTTTAACCCAAGACCTATTCCATCTCCTAACCCAAGTTACCAGTACCAACAAACTCGTGACACCCAAAATCCAACTCCATACCGAACCTTTACCAATCTAGGTCGACCTGTTGACCAGTTATATGAGCAATTAAAAGCTGCTGGGAAGATTGGTACGGTACCCCCTAAGACCTATCCCAGGGGATTTCCCCCTGGTTATGATCCTCAATCGTTTTGCGCTTATCATTCGGGATCCCCTGGACATCCGACGGCCAATTGCTGGGCACTTAAGCATAAAATTCAAGATATGATTGATGCTGGAGACATAATTCTGAGAAGGAAAGATGAACAAGGGCCAAGTGTTAGCAACAATCCTTTTCCTCAGCACAAGGATACTGTGGGGACTATCACCATAGAGGAAGGGATTGAGGACCCTACACAGTACATTGTAGACGAGGCCGAGATCATGGGGGTCATTGGAGAACCGTTTATATTGGAGGAGGAAGCCTATAAAGTTGAAGAGAATACTGATCCTTTTATTTTGGAAATGATACCCTTTGAATGTGAGCCTTCGGAACTCGTGGTACTTGAATTGCCTGAGCAAACTCCTGTTCTTAATTTACAAGAGGTCCCGTGGAATTATAGCGAACCTACACTGTTAATTGGAGAGAGGAAGGTGCCTAAGAAGGAAGTGGATGCCATCACTAGATCAGGGAGAATCATAGGGGAGCCTGCAGTTGATGAGTCCTCAAAAGCAAAAGAAGGTGCTACACCAACGAAACCCATAGTGACGGATGAAGAGGCTTTTAATTTCCTTAAGATGTTAAAGAAGAGTGAGTATAAGGTAGTCGAGCAATTGGACAAGATGCCCGCTCAAATTTCCATGTTAAATCTGCTCTTAACCTCGGAACTTCACCGAGAGGCTCTGGTCAAGGTCTTAACTGAGGCTCAAGTGCCTAAAAATATTCCAATTGACAAATTCGCCAATGTAGTTGAACATGTTTTGGCTTCCAGTCGGATTTCTTTTTCTGATGAAGATCTAACTGCCGAGGGGATTGGACACAACAAAGCTTTGTATATCTCAGTCCGCTGTAACGGGAAACTCTTGCCAAAGGTTCTGATAGACAATGGCTCCGCTCTCAATATCTGCCCTTGGAATACTTTGGTTAAGTTAGGATTTCAAGAGACTAAATTGCGGCCGTCAACCACTGTGGTGAGAGGATTTGATGGCGCAAAAAGTGAACCAATGGGGGAAGTGGATTTAGTGATCGAAATCGGACCTGCCCAGTTTCAGGTCATGTGCCAAGTCATGAATTTTTCAAGTGTTTATAACATTCTCCTTGGACGGCCTTGGATTCACACCTCGGGCGCTATACCCTCTTCACTTCATCAGTTGCTGAGGTTTGTGGTGAATGATCAATTGATCACAGTTTTTGCAGAGGATGATTGCACAATGATTGTTAACTCTGGACCAAATGAGGAGGATAGTAAAACATCTCTGCTTTCTTCTCACCATGTGGCTGACATTGTTTCCGTAGGATGGATATCTAAGGAGAAGCCCGTGGTGGAAATGAATCTGCCAGAAGCTAGTGTTATGATGGCTAAAGAGATGATTCGAGGAAGATATGAGATGGGCAAGGGCCTCGGGCGCAACCTGCAGGGAGTTTTGGAGCCAATAGAACTTCAAGGAAAGAAGGATACTTTCGGATTAGGGTTTCAACCTACTGCCAGGGATAAGAAAGAAATGATGAATCGTAAAAAGGCGGAGAAGGAAGGAAGGCAGCTTATCATGAATGTCCCATCATTGTATTGTACTTTTCCTTACCCATCAGAGGTGATCAAATCTGAAGTAGACCCGATCGAGGAAGTGGAGGTTGGGTTCTCTGAGCTGTTTGTGGGGGTTATTTCTGAAAGGGAGCCGTTGGAGGAGCCAGGATTTCCAGAGGTGCCTATATGAAGCAATGAAGAACTGGACCCGTGATCCTCTTCCCTCCTGCAGGGAATTTCGGTAAATTAAGGGATTGCCTTTGGTCGACATGAGACAAATCGTTTATACTACTTATCTTTTGTCTTTCAAGTTTGTAAATAGTTTTCAATCAAAAGTTTTCCAATGCAAGTCTTGCGTAAATTTTCTTGTTAAGTAGCATGTCATGATGTTATCCTTTACTTTGAATTTCAATGAAATGCACAGTGTTTATGGCCCAAATGGATTTAACTTACTTCCTATTGTACTCATTTCATTTTTTTCAGATGGCCAGAAATAAAACACATTGACCCTTTGGATATCACTATTCTGGAATTTGATGATTGTAATCTCGATATCTCTCACGAATTTGAAATTTTGGAATCAGAAATTCAAGACGAGAGCGATAACGAGGAAGAATCTGAATCTTTATTAAAGGATTTTGAACAATATGAGGAGAAATCCAAACCGAACTTAGAAGAAACAGAAGCTGTTAATATTGGCACTGAGACTGAAGTTAAGGAGATAAAAGTTAGCATTCATTTGAATAAGAAACAGAGAAAAGAGATGATTGAGTTCTTGACCATGTTTCAAGATGTATTTGCCTGGTCCTATGATGATATGCCTGGAATTTCAACAGATATAGTGGTCCACCGATTACCGACTGATCCAAGTTTTCCACCAGTAAAGCAGAAACCTCGCAAGTTTAAGTCGGACATGAGCCTCAAAATTAAGGAGCAAATCGAGAAACAGCTCAATGCTAGAATTATTATGGTGTCTCATTATCCCATTTGGCTTTCAAACCCTGTACCTGTTCCGAAGAAAAGTGGAGAAGTGCGAGTATGTGTCGATTACAGGGATCTTAACAAGGCCAGCCCGAAAGATGATTTTCCATTGCCGAACATTCATATTCTTTTGGATAATACCGCAGGGCATGAGATTGAATCATTTGCTGATTGTTTTGCTGGATATCACCAGATCTTAATGGCTGAGGAGGATAGGGAGAAAACTGCTTTTATCACGCCATGGGGGACATTTTGTTACCGAGTAATGCCGTTTGGACTAAAAAATGCAGGCGCTACTTATCAAAGGACTATGACCACCCTTTTTCATGATATGATTCATAAGGAGATGGAAGTTTATGTGGACGATATCATTATCAAATCCGAGAGAATGGAGGATCATTTGATTGACTTGGGGAGGTTATTTGAAAGATTGAGGAAATATGATTTAAAACTAAACCCTGCAAAGTGTGCATTTGGGGCCCCTGCCGGAAAGTTATTGGGATTCATTGTCAGTAAGAAGGGTATTGAGATAGATCCGGCAAAGATTAAGGCCATTCGTGAGATGCCAGTGCCAAGAACGCAAAAAGACGTGAAGAGTTTTTTAGGAAAGATTAATTTTATTGGGAGATTCATTGCCCAATTGACCCATACGTGTGAGCCTTTGTTCAAATTATTAAAGAAAAATGTGTCCTTGCAATGGAATGAGGAATGCCAGCAAGCGTTTGATAAAATTAAAGATTACCTGTTGCACCCCCCGGTTTTAGTGCCACCCAAACCCGGGCGACCTTTGATCATGTATCTATCGGTGTTGGACGAAGCTATGGGGTGTGTATTGGGACAACATGACGAATCGGGGAAGAGGGAGCAAGCTATCTATTACCTTAGTAAGAAGTTCACTGCGTATGAGGCCAACTATTCTTTTCTTGAGAGGAGTTGCTGTGCTCTAGCTTGGGCCGTCCAAAAATTGAGACATTACTTGCTCAGTCATACTACTTACCTTATTTCCCGCTCCGACCCTTTGAAATATTTGTTGGGAAAGCCTATGCCGACGGGACGTATGGCGAAATGGCAGATGATTCTTTCGGAATTTGACATTATTTTCACTACTCAAAAGGCCATCAAAGGCCAGGCTGTGGCCAACCATTTAGCTGAAAATCCGCTGAAAGATGACTATCAACCACTTCACACTTATTTTCCGGATGAGGAGGCCTTGTTCGTGGGTATAGCAGAAGATATGAATGATCAATGCCCGGAGTGGAGGTTGTTCTTTGACGGTGCATCAAATTCCTTCGGGGCCGGTATTGGAGCTGTTCTAGTATCGCCTGAAGGAAAACATTACCCTGGTTCGGCCAAACTCCGATTTTCCTGTACTAACAACATGGCTGAATATGAAGCTTGCATTTTTGGGTTAAAAATGGCATTAGAAATGGAGATTAAGGATTTACTAGTATTCAGTGATTCAGATTTGCTTGTACATCAGACTCTTAAGGAGTGGATTACTCGGGATTCAAAGATCTTGCCCTATCATTGCAACTTACTGGAGTTAGCCAATAAATTTAGGAGTTTGGAGTTTCGGCATATTCCCCGTGTCAGAAATGTCTTCGCCGATGCATTGGCCACTTTATCTTCAATGATCCAACATCCGGATGAGTTAATAATTGAACCCATCCAGATTCATCTACAAGGGAAACCTGCTCACTGCCTAGTTGTGGAAAAGTCTTCCGATGGCCGTCCCTGGTACAATGATATCAAGGAATTTCTCAAAACAGGATCCTACCCATCTGGGGCTGATATGACTGCCAAAAGTTTCTTGCGTAGATTATCATCTAAATTCTTCTTGAATGGAGAAGTAGTATACAGAAGAACGTCGGATTTGGGCCTTCTGAGGTGTGTTGACGAAGATGAGGCGGAGTACCTGATGAAGGAAGTACATAGTGGAGTGTGTGGATCACATATGAATGGCCATTTATTAGCAAAGAAGATCATGAGGACTGGATATTTTTGGCTTACTATGGAGCATGATTGTATAGTTTTTGTTAGGAAATGCATCAAGTGTCAATTGCATGGAGATGTTATGCACACTCCCCCTACAGAATTACACAGTATGACTGCTCCTTGGCCATGTTCGATGTGGCGTATGGATGTGATCGGAGCCATTGACCCTCCCGCTTCAAATGGGCATCGGTTTATTCTGGTGGCAATTGAATACTTTACTAAGTGGGTCGAAGCTGAGTCTTATAAACATGTGACTAAGAAGGTGGTAACAGACTTTCTAAGAAAGAATATCATTTGTCGTTTCGGAGTGCTGGAGACATTAATCACTGATAATGCCAAAAATCTCAACAATGACATGGTGGATGGTTTGTGCGCACAGTTCAAAATCAAGCATCGAAACTCCTCTATTTATAGGCCACAAATGAATGGAGCAGTAGAGGCTGCGAATAAGAACTTGAAGAAAATAATCCGTAAGATGATTGAGAGACACCGTGATTGGCATGAAAAGCTCCCTTATGCGTTAATGGCATATAGAACTGTTATTCGGACTTCTACTGGGACGACTCCCTACAATCTCATGTATGGAATGGAAGCAGTTTTACCAGCCGAAGTCGAAATCCCTTCTTTGCGTATTTTAATGGAGGCCAAACTGGAGGAGGCTGAATGGATTCAACAACGTCACGAGCAGTTGTCTTTAATCGATGAGAAAAGGTTAAATGCCATTTGTCATGGTCAATGCTATCAAAAAAGGGTAGCCCGTGCTTACAATAAGAGGGTCAGACCACGGGTGTTCACAGAAGGAGATAAAGTGTTGAAACACATTTTGCCAGCACAAGAGGAAGCTAAGGGGAAATTTGCACCAAATTGGCAAGGCCCTTTCATCGTCCGGAAAGTTTTGCCCGGAGGAGCGCTCATTCTTGCAGAAATGGATGGGCAAGTGTTCCCTCAACCAATCAATTCAGATATGTGTAAGAAATTCTTTATATGATAAATGAAATCTTCCTTTTAGGGTTAATGTGAGGAACGGATTAAAAGTCAGGCCTTCTTCCTTCCCAATCAAACATTCTATCCCTAGTTGTCCCTTTTGAGCCTTCAGAGCAAATTATTTCGTTTGGCATCCCCTGAGAATCGCAAACCCCATACTGGGGCAAGTTTGAGTCGAAAAAGCTAAGAATGAGAAAGAAAGGAAAAGAAGAGAAAAGAAAAGAGAGGATTCAAAAGGAAAAGCTATAAAGGAAAATGAAAAGAAAAATGAAAAGAGGAAGATCTCGATTGAGAATAAACTGGGGCAATTATTAGTAAGGTTAATTTGAAAAATGCGATCTCAGATCATTTAAACCACACTTGAAATCCGCTTTCAAGCCTTAATCTTTTCTAAGCACCCCACCAGACCCCATTACAAAAACCTAAAAGTCCTGACTTCTGTTCTTTATACTGCCTTTTTAGGACAATTTCTAATCAGGTGGCACATGATGTCAAAAACATCTTCGCCTATTTTGCAAGGGAAGAATTGTTATACTGATGCCATTATTTCTTAAAACACATCTCCAGATTGATATGGGCGATAGACAAGATTGGTTTGCTAGGTGAAAACCCGCAAGGGCACCTAAAAAAAAAAAGAAGGAAAAAGAAAAGGAAAAAGAAACACAGGAAAAGAAAATAATGGGCGGGGGCAACCTTAGTGAAAACCCGAAAGGGCGCTGAGGTAGGGTTTCATAAGGAAAAGTAAGTTTGGATTTGAAGAGCTGGTGACTTAGTTCATTGGAATTTCTCCTCACATTGTGGTTCTGTTGTCAAGTATTGGAACTCCGAAGAGATGATGTCCAAAGGGTCAAATGTAGCACTTTGTTCGAAAGCCAAAGTTTTTGACTTATCAGACACGAAATTTGAGTATACAGGCTTACTTATTTGAAATGATTTTTTTGTGCAATAAAAGTAGAGGATTGTGTTTATATTGTTAAGATCTTTCATCATTATGTGCAACTAGAATGTTTTTCATGTGTTGCATGGTCGCATTTGTCTCTTTTGTTCTATCAAATGGCAATCCCTATGATTTATCGAAGAGAATAGATACTAGATGATACGTGGGTCTGCATATTATGAGAATTTGACATGGCTTGCAGGGCCGGGTTGAAGTGCTCACTTCGTCGAACGAGAAGCCCAAATGCTCATGTTTACACTTTTCTTGAAGAAGAGGTTGATCGAATGATGGCGGTATTATCTATCATTATTTCTTTTCTTGCAGGTCGGACAATCCGATAAGCATCACACTGGGGCAATTTTAGAGGAAGTTGTTTACCATTTGTTTTCTCAAAAGCCTACGAAAGTTTATATGAATAGATCAACTGACCGCTTTTATTTTTTCGTTGGGCATGGGTTTTATCCCTCCGACCTCGGCAGGCTTGGGTTTTATCCCACTAACCGCTTTTATGTTCCGTTGGGCATGGGTTTTATCCCTCCGACCTCGGCAGGCTTGGGTTTTATCCCACTGACCGATTTTATGTTTCGTTGGGCATGGGTTTTATCCCTCCGACCTCGGCAGGCTTGGGTTTTATCCCACTGACCGCTTTTATGTTTCGTTGGGCATGGGTTTTATCCCTCCGACCTCGGCAGGCTTGGGTTTTATCCCACTGACCGATTTTATGTTTCGTTGGGCATGGGTTTTATCCCTCCGACCTCGGCAGGCTTGGGTTTTATCCCACTGACCGCTTTTATGTTCCGTTGGGCATGGGTTTTATCCCTCCGACCTCGGCAGGCTTGGGTTTTATCCCACTGACCGCTTTTATTTTTCGTTGGGCATGGGTTTTATCCCTCCGACCTCGGCAGGCTGGGTTTTATCCCACTGACCGCTTTTGTTCCGTTGGGCATGGGTTTTATCCCTCCGACCTCGGCAGGCTTGGGTTTTATCCCACTGACCGCTTTTATGTTTCGTTGGGCATGGGTTTTATCCCTCCGACCTCGGCAGGCTTGGGTTTTATCCCACTGACCGCTTTTATGTTTCGTTGGGCATGGGTTTTATCCCTGCCGACCGTTGGGCATGGGTTTTATCCCTCCGACCTCGGGCTTGGTTTTATCCCACTGACCGCTTTTATGTTTCGTTGGGCATGGGTTTTATCCCTCCGATATCAGGCCTTGGGTTTTTTATCCACCAGACCTCGCAGGCTTGGGTTTTATCCCACTGACTGCTTTTATTTTCGTTGGGCATGGGTTTTATCCCTCCGACCTCGGCAGGCTCGGGTTTTATCCCACTGACCGCTTTTATGTTTCGTTGGGCATGGGTTTTATCCCTCCGACCTCGGCAGGCTCGGGTTTTATCCCACTGACCGCTTTTTTTTGACCATCTGCTTGATCATTGGATTGATAGTTAGTCTGTCAGTCATTTTGTATTTCATGTTTAGAAGTTCTGAGAGTTTGACTTCTTCTACTTTGCAAAGATCAAATATAGTCAATGCACTTGCATCCGAACTACGTTTGACCTGATTCCTGTTATGGGATACGTAGGCAACTCTACATGAGTTCGGTCATATTTTCTGCAATGTTATTACATCATTTTGTCCAATAATTTCAGCCGAGTGATTGACTTGTTTGTTTTATTTTCAGAAGCAGATAGAAGAGACAGGTAAGTATTTGGTGTCTACTTCTTTGTCTCAAGTTTTTTCAAAACTCAGACAAAGAGGGGTAAACTGTAGACACCAAATTTTTGGTGTAATTTCATTTACTATTTATTTTTAGTTTTTTATTTTGTCGTGTTAGTTTTATTCGATTTTTAGTTTTTAGTTTTTAGTTTTATTATTTTTAAGTTTTAGCATAGAATTTCTCGAAGTGAAAAGAAAAGCATTCGAAAAAAAAATATATATGTTTTAATTTAAATTCAATGTTTTCTTGGGAAAAATGAAAAAATGAGAATGAAAATGAAAAATGGAAAAAGTGAAAAATGAGGAAAATGAAAAATGGAAAATTGCAATTTTTTTTGTTGTTTATCATTTTAGTTTAGTTTTTTAGCCAATGTTAATTAATTTGTTGTTTTTTCTTCTTAATTTTATTATTATTATTATTATTATTATCATTTTTGTTAGATTATTTTTTAAAAAAAAAAAAAAAAAAGCCAAAAGCTGCGTTTTTGTCGCAGCTTACAAAGAAGATTGCAGGAGGTCCTGGAGTGGTAATTTGAAGCTGTAAAAAGGCCAGGTGTCTAGGACACCTGGAGGGGGGAGATGATTCTAGATAGGAGCTAGGTTTTAGGCTGCAAATACTGGAGAAAGTACCAGAGATTCTTAGGGTAAGAAACATCATATAAAAGCTAGAGAAAAGCCAGCCGCAAAAGGAGTTTTTTGGGGGGAGGAGGAGATGGACGGAACAAAAAAGAGAGCATAAGAAACGGCAAAAGAAGGAAAAAGAGTGACGACTAAACAGAAAGGGAAAGGGAGAAATCTGGGCTGAGATAGGGGTGAGAAGGGAGAGAACATAGGAGGGGAGTGGTGATTGAATCTAGAGGAAATTGATAGAAACTCAACAAAGGCAAAAGCAGGCGGAAATCGACGGGCAAGAAGGCAGAAATCGACCTTCCAGCCTGCATTTTTTCCAGCGAACGGCAGAGGACTCTGAGCTCCCAAAATTTGGATTCCTACATCTCAACTTCATAGGCTATAAAGGTAATCTTTTTCTGGCTTCATATCTCCCAACAAGCTCAGCAGTTTGTATGTTTTTCCTTTTCCATTAGACTTCATAAATTTTCATTTTTGGTCCGCTAGTTTCACGGTAGAGAGTTGCAGGTTTGGACATTGTTTTGATATGATGAGTTTATATTGATATTCTAGGTTTGTTTTGGAGTTTGTTTTCGTAAGAATCAGTTTTGTTTGGGTAGTTATCGATCATGCTTGTTTTGTCTTGGGCTAGTTCTTCATTTTGTTCTAACGGTAAAGGGACCGAAGAGTGGGAATTTCTGGAATAGGGTTTACATGTGGAAGTGTTGCATATTTGTTTTCTTGTTAGAAGCCTAAAACTCATGATGTTGATTGTTGAGATGTGGTTCAATAATGATAAAGATTGGTGATTTGGGTTTGAAGATTACATGAAAAATGATGAAGAATCGTGCGGCAATCTATGAAAACTTCTTGGCAAAACAGGAACGTTTTTTTAAGAAACTAATTTCATATGAAGGTTGGCCGGAACCTACCTCATTTAAAACCCTGGCTCATTGGCTTTGTCTTTCTGGTTTGTTTGAGTCAAATTTTGGCATGAACATGAATTATTTCTGAAGTACTTTGAATCTGAAATTTGTCTCACGGATTGAATGGCAAACAGATTTTCATCTTTGATTGATAATTTCTGGGTAGCTAAGCCTTCTGAAATGATTTGATTTTCCTCTTTGGTTTAATGTATGTGAGTTATATGTTTGGTTGGAGTTGAAGATGCAATATACGTGCGTGCTTGGGGGGAGTTTTTTTAAAGCTTTAAATTAGGACCAAGTGTTTGCTGAAATTAACCATTGAACCAGTCTTGCGCACATATGTCCTAGATTTTTTTGGGCGTGGTTTTCCATCTGATTTTTGTTGACCTTGATTGGCTTGGTTGGTTAATTAATTTCTTAGTGTAAAGATGTGAGCCTGGAGTTGGGAGTATTCAATCAAAATCGTGTGTCAAAAACTGGAAAAATTGAGTTAGGAAACTAAAATGCAGCATGCCTTATGTTCGGCACACTTGAGACCTTTTGAGTGTTTGAATTGCTTAATGTATTTGAGAAATGTTTTTTTACTTGGGGAATTTGGTTAGAGATGATGTGCTCAAATCCATTGGTGTTTAAAAATCTGTTTTCGTTTTTGCATTTGTTTTTGAAAGCAAGTCATGGACAAAGTTTCTGTTTGGCCGATGCAAGATTCAATGAACAAAAGCTGCACGCATGTTGTTTTTTTTGTTCTCTTAGATTTGCTTATGATATTGCTTTAAATTTCTTGTTTGTTTGGATCATGTTGGTGGTATAGTTGGTAGCTTGGTCAAAAGTTGTGTTGTGGGATCAAAGATACCTAGTCTAAGCCACACTTTTGAATAAAAAAAAATCTGGTGTTTGTATAGTGAAGAAACTTGCGGCCTTCTTTCTTTCTTTTTGTTGCTGTTCTGCCGTTTAATTTTGCTCTTGTTGGTCAAACTTCAATTCTGGTTTCTATCTTGCAATAAGGTCGTATGTCTAGTCAAGGAGTGATAGTTCAAATCCTGGCATTTGGGGGATAATGTTTGCATAATAAATTCAAAGAAAGGCTCGGCTAGAATGGTATAGAAAATCTAAAGAATTGCTGAATCTTTTGCAGAAAATTCACTTGTATGTTTTCCCATTTCATTTGTATGAAGTGTGCATGAAAATTTTCTTCATTTATGGCTCTTGCATACATGATAAGCTTGGTAGGAGTTGGAGTTTGAGTTCTAGTGAGATGTTTGTGTGAATTTGTTGGGTAAAGTTTGCTGAAATTTAAGAGCATGAGCAACGTTGTAGAAAGCTTCAATAGAAATTCGTATTGCAGAGATTTG